AGCATTGCATGGATCCACTAGCTAACTGCTGCGGAGGTGTCTGCCATCCCTGCTAGGTTGACTCTCCGTTGTGGACAGGGACCTTACCTTCGTCAGCTCCACACATGGTGTATTTGCATTTACAGGGTAGCTGTTCTACATGGCAAATGGTCACATTGTACCCAAATGAAACAATATGAGCGTGAACATGGAAGGAGAAGTATTAAAACATGGAATATTCGTTTATGTAAATCTAAACGCGGTAGAACATACATATCAATTCCTTCTAAAAAAAAACTTTCAAAAATCAGCTCTTCTGAAATAACTAAAAATCCCACTGTCAATTTTTCTTTCATCATCACCAAGCCAATATATTATCAGAAAGACATAACTCAGTAGCCCTTTTAAAGTTCAATATTTTCTATTGTATTTCTTATGAAGAGGATTCCAGTAGTGCTTAGAACTTTTGACATATTTCATGTTTTATTTACTGTAGGTTATTAAAGATGTCAGAGTTAAGCTTTAAATTTGGAACAGTTTTAAATGTCTCCTTTTCTCCTATTAAAAATATATTTCTAATTATATAATTGAGTTAGAAAATAAAAATTTACAAATGTATAACTTAGTAAAAGTTTCCATTTACTAAGTGTAGGTCTGAATTACTTTTAACAGTTGCATAATACTTAACTTACGAATGTATTAATGGGATAATTATGATTAAACGATCTGCTATCAAAGGACATTTACATTGTTTCCAGTTTTTTGGCTGTGGGGATTCTTGTTTTTTACACACTTGCTTAGATAATTTTTTAGTATATATTTCTGAAAGTAGAATTGCAGAAATCAAAAGATCCTCTCATTTGAGTGTTTCACTTTTAGGTGTGGTGCAAGTGTACATATATCTTATTATATCATGCTTCTTCAAAAAAATTCCTCTATGGAAAGAGGCGTTAGTGTATTCTTTCTCTTAATCAACTTATTTCTCTGACAGAGAAATGATGAAAAGTCACCCTTTTTCTTGTAGTATCATCCTCATTGCTATCTAAGAGAAGGCATTAAAATTATATCCAGATGGTATCTGCTGTGACTGAATATAATCTTGAAAATAGAGATGCTTCTCTCTGATTCCCAACTGTACCCTCTGGATGGGACCTAAAATTCTGTTTTTCAAACTGTAAATTATTGTTCTTAGTGGGCCATCCATTCTCTGAATGAGTTTGAAAAGTTCTTTTTTAAGGAAATCTCATAGAATAGAAATAATATATTTTCTTATGGTGGGTCATGGTCAAAAAGTGTGAATGTCTCTGATCCTAGAAAGTGTCCCCATTTACAAAGGCATCAGTGCCTCCAACTTTGTCATAATGGTTCAGAGTTTTGAAGTAAATCCACTCCGTCTTGACTGCCTTTACCAAGAAAGACCAGGTGCTCAACTTTGGGGTTCATGAGGGGATGGTCACAGATGTACAGAAAATAACCCATTAGTATTTCATAGAATTCTTCGCATATTCAGATCAAAGCCAGTTGTAACATTACACTTTTCATAAGACAAACACAAACAATTCACTGGGCATTTTGTTGCTGTCTAGCCACCTTATCTTTTTCTCTTTCCATAGTGTGAAAATATTCCTGAAAACCTCAGTGTTGGGGGACAGAGCTGCAGAACCCCAGTCAGCTCAGTATCTCCCTTTCTGTTTCAAGGTCCTTCCTCAAAAGCACAGAACTGAGCAAGGGAAAGTGAGGGGAAGGGCTGGGGGAACAGGGAGGTGCAAGGGGTTTTCCCTGGTCTTTTCTAGCCCTTTTGTTCCAGAGACTTAGTTAGTACTCAACATTTTAGAAATAAAAACTGCCTTTACAATTAATGCAAATATTACTCAGTGATTCATCCTTTCCAAATGATTCTTGGTTTCTTTTGACATTTTATTTGTATATGATGAATTAACACTGACATCCCCACAGGGTTACTGTTACCTCAGCTCTTCATGGTCAACTCCACTGTCTGGACAAGGCCATGAAAGTTCTTATTTTAACTTCATCCTTTGGGTACTGTGGGGCTTTTACAACTTTGATCACACGTTACACATACATCATGGAGAAGATATTGGAGAGAATTCTGTGGTTGATTTGTTGGTTAGTCCATTGTCTACAATTTAGAGATCTTCATTAAGATTTTAGCCACAGCAGTGATCATGATAATAATCATAACCCTGCAGCAGCTCTAATAAAGTAGATTTAGTTTGAGTTTTAAAAATTAGAGTGGGAGCTGCTGTATACATTTATACGTTTAAAGATCTGGGAAACCATCCATAGGTTCAAATGGAAATAATCAGTGTAATAGAGGGACTGAATGGATTCTATCCTTTTAATAAGTCACCAGTCTCACCTCTGCTTTTTTTGTTTTGTTTTGTTAAGAGACTTTAGGGACAAGGTCTGTCTCTGTTGTCCAAGTTGGAGGGCAGTAGTGTAATCATAGCTCACTACAACCTTGAACCCCTGACACCCAGCAGTCCTCCCACCTCAGATTACTGACACCACACCCAGCAAATTTTAAAAATTTTTTTAGAGATGAGGTTTTGCCCAGACTGGTCTGAAACACCCAGCCTAACACTCTCCTCAGCCTCTCAAAGTGCCGGGATTACAGGTGTGAGCCTCTGTGCCCAGCCTTTACCCCTGCTTTTGAAGACCTTGGGTTAACATTATTTGAGAAGATTCAAGAGACCAGCACAGATTAATGAACTGCCTAAAGGCAAAAAGACGGTTTTAATATTTTTGTCAGAAGTTTGGGCGCCTGTGGTATTCTAAGGATAGGAATTTTCACATAGATTGTTGTAACTGATCCCAGCACTGTATTTCAGTGTAACATTTTTTCTCTAGTATTTTTCGTACAACTGAAAATTATACTCATGATTCTTTAATGGGGTATGTTCTTGGAGTAGGCATTTATTAGCTAACGAACATATTCCAAGCTCAGCAAAGTTCTACGCTTTCCAAAAGTCTACCCCATAAAGGCCACAGTGAGTTTAGATCATCTCCAAGGTCACACACCCAGCAGTGGCAGAGCTCTTAAATTTTGAATGAACTTGATTCCTCTTGTTGTAACGGGTCAATTTTCCCTTTTCAAACCGCTTGTCTTAATTGAGATTTGTTCAACTGTGGCTGTTTGTGTACCTTCAATCAATAGTTTTCTTGTCTTAGGCAAATATTTCCCTGCAGTTTTACCTGAACATCATGTTCTATACAATTCAGAGCTACCCATTTCCCTTTTGTTGAAATTACACACTGTCTGTCTCCCCTGAGGAAAGCTGTGAGCTTCCTCACTCTGCCAATCACACAGCCCTCCAGCAGGAGAGGACTTCATCTCTTCCGAGACTTCTGTGCTTATGGGATTGCCAGGCTATGTGTTCATTCGAGTGAGGGCTAAACATTTTAACAAAGAGACCTGATAGTACATTGGGTTAAAGAACAAAGTTTATTTCTTCCTCACATCGCCAGCAGCGTGAGCTGCCGGGATGGGGGGGTCAGAGCAGCTCCATCACATAGTATTGTTCAGTGATCCTCCTGTTTTATTTATCTGCCATCCTTTGGCCCAGTGGTCCTCACCCTTTTTGGCACCAGGGACTGGTTTCATGGAAGACAGTTTTTTCCTGGGTGGCAGGGGGCTGCAGAGCGGGTCTCAGGTGGTGCTGCTGTGTGGGCCAGTTCCTAGCAGGCCATGGACTGGTACTGGACCTCAGCCCGAGGCTATTCATCATCTGTGTGGTAAAATCCCAGGTCTTCTCCAAGTCTGGGTTTATCCAGCAGGAAAGAGAAAAATAAAACCTGGAGGAAGCTCGACAAGGGCCTTAAGCCCGGACCTGGACGTGGCACACGTAGTCTGACACTGCGCTGGTGAGCGTTTGGGCAGATGGCCATCTCCGACTCCGGGGACAGGCGGTGGGCACACCAGCAGGGCAGCCGCCTTTCCAGCCACTGCACTATTGCTATGGAAAACGAGAGGACACGGTTCTGTGGACAGCTCCCATTCTTGTCTGCAGGCAGAGGATCCTTGAGTGCTTGATGGACTGCATGAAAAGAACTGAGACATTTGCCTCTGCAATTATATTTGCTTTCAGCCTTTTTTTTTGTCTTCTCATTTTCATGTCACATACCTAAAATTTGAACTAAATACATTTTTAAAAATTAACCCATGTCTAGTATAATAATATAATAAGGAGGATATTTCATAATAAAACAAATCCCAAATGATAGGTGATTTTAGATACTAGCTTTATCTAATCATATGATTCTTCACTTTCATTGCAGCCTCTAGGTAATAGGTTACAGGGACCTGCAGTGTGTTAATGTCTGTCTGAGGTGGATTAAATCTGAGATCTATAGCCTTGATAATAAGGGCTCTTAATTTTTGTATTTTTCTTTCACTTTTAACATTACAGAATTTGTAATGTTAAACATTACCACTTTGAGAGCGGCAGGAAAATGGCTTGCTTCCCTGGAAATACACTGGGGGACATCATGGGACATGGTAGCAATCCTGCCCTGTGCTGCGCAAAGCACTACCCAGGCCTTTCTGAGCTCCTTAACCTTGGAGAAAACTAGAAAACAGTTCTAGGAATCACAGAATTCATGAAAGGGTGGCAAATAATACACGTAGGGAGCTAAGACTATTAATCCTTGATGTTTAGAGGGTGATAAGAAGAAATGACCTCTAAGATTCCCAGTATGCAAGACTTTTTAGGCAGAAGGTAGAGACCAGTAGTACCAAACTCGGAACACCGTTGTAAACTTAGTGTGAGGGTTTTGGATCCTACGTAAGTGGTAATTCCTTGATTATGCAATCTCCCTGCTGTTAGATTTAGATACCAAAGAGGAACTACACCATATCCTCCTGCGGGCTTTAAAAAAGGATTATGTTTGGTCTTACTGAAATAATAGTTTACTCCTGCGTGGATTCCTTGGTGATAGAATTTTTAAGGTTCATATTCTGGTGTCACAGTTTCGTTTTGTTGTTTTGTTTTAATATATAGCTCCGAGATGGCAGAAGAGGATCCGTATTTGGGAGGGCACGAACAAGTAAGTGTTAAAATCTCACCAATAATTTTATTTAAATGTATTTGCATTTCAAAATATACAGAGGCAACATTGCTATGCTCAAACTCTAAAATTAGTAACAATTCAAAAATAATTTCTCCAGTTTCTCAGTCCCTCCAAGTGAGGTTGGAGAGGACATAATGTGAAATAAGCACGTAAGCCCTACTATGCCATATGTCATTGTGTAAGAATTGTGTATTCTGCAGGTCAAATTTCAGACACTGTATTGCTGTCCTTGGGCTGCCATGCAAACTACCGCAAACTTGGTGATTTGGAGCAACAGCGTATATTCTCTCACAGTTCTAGAGGCTGGAAGTCTGTAATCAAGTGTGGACGGGTTGGGGCTTGCTGGAGGCTCCAAGGCAGACTCTGTTCCAGGTCTTTCTGGTGGTGACTGGCAAAGTCCTTGGCATTCCCTGGCTTGTCACTGCATCACTCCAGTCTCGGCCACTGTTGTCACATGCCTTTTTCTCTTGTGTCTTTACTGTGTTTCTGTACCCAAGTCTCTTGTTTTTCATACAATGAAATCATCAGTCCTTGAATTTAGGGCCTGCCCTTATCCAATGCAACTTCATCTGGTCTTGCTTATTATCTGCAAAGACCCTACTTCCAAATAAGGTCATATTCATAGGTACGGAGGATTAGGGCTTAAATGTATCTTTTGGTGAGGAGACACAGCTCAACCCACTACAGCCCCTTAAAAGATGTACTTAAAGCTTATCTTGCCTGACAAGGAGCAGAAATAATAACAAAGCAAAACAAAACAAACAAATAAAAAAAACCAAACTCATCTAGTAAGGAGGCAGACAGGTGTAGTGAAAAGACCTTCAGACTTATAATTTAAAGATCTCTATACACCTGTAAGTGCTGACTGTTAACTGATCAGCGCTTCAGAACTGAGGAATCACTTAGCCCCTCCCATCTTCACTTTTCTCATTTACAAACTAGAAAGGCTAACATCACGCTCACAGAGGTGTTGAAAATACTCTCTTGGTAATGAATGTGCTTTGGGGGCGTAAAACTATTTGTTGTCATTATATTAGGAGTTATAAAAGGATATCACTGGACATTTTTTTCCTTCTTCTCCTAGCTTTTTAAGTTTGAAAAATTTCAAACCTGTAGAAATGTCAAATAGTCCAACCAGTCCATGCTGGCTATTAACAACCCACCCTCTCCATGCACACACACCTTTGTAGAACCATTTGAAAACAAATTTCAGAGTCAGGAGTAACTGCAATGGCAATATTAAATTTAAAAAAAAAATTTTAATTGTTCTTAAAGATATGTTAGTATTTTTTTAAAGAACATAAGTAATGATTCTAAGAAGCATTTTAAACACTGAGATTTATTCATTTGTAAGCTATTTATTGAGGCATTACTTATATTAGAACATTGGCTTAGCAGGGATGCAAAAATAAGTGATACAAAGACTCTAATTTCAGGAAGCTGCCCTTCTGTTAGGAAAGACAGAGACATAGATTCCATATGGTGATGACTGCCATAGTAGTGGTCCCCATAGAATGGGGCAGAAACGTGGGAGGGGTCACTAGATGCTCCCTTGTGGGGATCAACAGAGTTACAGAGGACGTTTCAGAGGGCGGCTCTGTGAGCTGAGATGTGGAAGGTCTAGTTCCCTAGGCTGGACAGAGAGGGAACACTAGGTACCCCAACACTATGGGCCAGAATTCATTAACATTTCACATTTAAATTTTAGTGACGATCATCTGAAATAATAGATTTCTCAAATTTACATATACAAAGAATCAGCCAAAAATTAGTCACTATTTTCTTTTCTATTCAAAAATATAAATAAATAAAGCCAAAGTGATAGACGTTTTAAGGGACCCACTGTTGAATAAAATAGGCTTCCACACCATTCATTGCTATTGGTAATATTATGATCAGTTTGGAAAGAATGGATATGCATTGCTTTCCACCCTAAGATGCTCCTTTCTAGTTTTATTGAAACAAACAATGATATAGGACAAATCTAGGAACATTTTCTTTGATAGCAGCGTGAAAGACATTTGGCTACTCACATCATCACCCTTTATTTTGCCTTTCGCTTTTATTATGCTGTCTCTAACAATTAAAGGCAGACTAACCAGCATGAGGTTTGTTTCTGCTCGATTTTAAACCATGTTTTCCTGTGTATACGCAGGAAATCTTATCAGCAAGAGATGGTTCTTCATGCCCCGAGAGTCAAACCTGCTGAAAACATTCATTTTGAAAGTTTTTGTCATATGGGCATTTTTGTGATCAGCAACAGCGCTTGGTTGTGTTCTGATATTTCCGTTTCTGAAGGGAGAGGTCCCTGAAGTCTTTTCTCTTGTCTGGAGCTTCATGGTTCCTATTTCCTAAAGTGTACATGTCCTCAGTGAGATACCCTTAGTTTTGAGTGTTAGTTTTAGTATTCAGGAATCTGTTCTCCACCCCAACCTAGTAAACAATGCGAGCTGCAGCACGACACAGCTTCTTTCTTTTTTGTCTAAAGTGGGATGTGTCTCTATGTCCCAAGATTGGTGCTTTTGCCCACGTCCAGGCATTTTAGCCACCTGCAGGACCACAGGAAAGGAGATTTTTCCTGCTAGATTGTCTTTTTTGCTCTGAGACTGGTAACTACCCTATGTAAGGTGGGGCTCATTATTACAAAACATGTTTTCTCAGTCCTGTGTTTCCTTTTCACAAACAATGAATAGCATCAGTGAGCTTTACCCTGGAGCATTGAAGGGGGCATTTTTTGTTCCTCAGTTGAAACTTGCATCCTTCATAACTAGATCTAAATTGTTCTTCATTTGAATGCTGTTTTTATTATTCTTGAATTAACTAGGCGTACTAGATTCTAAAGTATCCATGAACTTCTAGTAATTTACTATCAATGACAAAAGACACGTTATAATGCAAGGTATTTAAAAAAAAAAAAAATACTAGTTCCAGCAGGCTTACTAACTAGCCTGTCATCAAAAGTAAAATATTGTTATTCTTTTGCTGACCACAGACATTTCAAGCAGGTGATTTCTTCAGGCCAAAAACAATTAGCAAACTCAGAAATAAGAATTTAAAGTTCTAAATGAATGATGTGGGGAAAACATTATTTTCTTGAGATAAGTAATTAAAAGTATTTTATCAGGATAAAAGTTAATCCCAGCGAAATATATTACATGCCCACTGTATTAGTTTTCTCCAGTAGTTTTCTGTTCTTGCTGTAACAAATTATCACAGACTCATGGCTTAAAACAGCACAAATTTATCCTCTTAGGTCTAGAGATTAGAGGTCTAAATCAGGGTGTTGGCAGGGCTGTATTCCATTTAAAGGTCCTAGAAGCTCTCATTTCTGTGCCTTTCTGAAGTTCTAGAGCAGCGTCTTTCAACTTTTTTTTATCTCACGGCACATTTGAACCTATAATTAAACTTTTGTGGCCCATGTAAATTATGTTGATCAAAAAAAAAAAAAAGAATGAAAAAAAGAATATACTTAGTGTGCTTTGAAAATAATGTAATTAATGATCTTTAAAACTTTTTGTGGCACACCTGAGATCCTCTCATGGCTCACCAGTGTGCCGTGGCTCGACAGTTGAAAATCACTGTCTGGAGACTGCCTGTATTCCTTGGTCTGTGTTTCCTCCCGTCCATCATTCCAGCCTTTGCTTCCATTGTCACACTTCCTAGACACTTTGATTTTCTGAGTCCCTCTTCTCCGGCCCAATGAGACCATTCAGGGCAATCTCCTCATCTTAACAGCCTTGCCTTATTGACATGTGCAAAATCCCTTTGGGGGGTATAAACTAGTATTCACAGGTTCTGAGGATTAGGACATGGTCATCTTTGGGGGGAGGTCATTATTCAACCTAACGCATCTACAAAGTTCAAGTATTTGAATTATGCTAAAAAAAAAATAAAGGTCTAAAAAAATGAATGTGCTCATTGCTTAGTTATCTGCCCTTTGGACTGTAAGTTAATTTTCAATTATTCTGTAAATAGTTCCAGAGCTGCTGTCTGTAATTCTTTCAGACCTTGAAATTGGGTAGCAAAATTAGGGTTATATTTACCATCGTAATAGAAATATAACTTGCCAGGATTATAATTCTTGTATTTGTAAGAGAATAGAAGCTTCCAGTTGTTTATTCAAAAAATATTTATTAAGTATCTACTCTGTGATAACATACACTTAGCCCTGAAAATATACTACTAAGAGTGCCATTCCAGGTCCTTACCTCTGAGGACCTTAGTAGATTCTTCTCCTCAAATCTTTCGTTACGTAAATGTAGTCTAATACTTGTAAAGATTTGTACACATGAGAACTTAACTAGGTCTCATGAAGATATTTTAAAGTCCTGGTAGAATATATCTTCAGCCTTTTGTTTTTGGCTTTATTTTCCAATGCTCTTATTAAGTTTTAGGTACCCCCAACTTCAAATATTAACATAATGTTGGAAAAATAATAATCGAATTATTTAAACTTTCCTCTTTACAGATGTTTCCCTTGAATCCTTTGAATCATACAATATTTAATCCAGAATTATTTCAACCAGAGATGGCACTGCCAACAGGTAAGGAAACTCATTGTCATCATCATGCTCTCACTGTTTAAAAAAATTCATGATTTGCTAATAGTCTCTTTTAGAAATCCAGTGATTATACCTAGAAAGGAGAGGTTGATTTATGTTTTAAAAATCAACCTTTCAATATACTTTCATGAAATATATTTGCACAAAAATATTTCACCTCAATTACCCCTTGTATGGCTCATTGAGGTTATTAATATCTATCAGGAATACTCAGAAGGAATTTCTTTACTCGATCGGTTATTTTCCTTTTCACGCAATGATATTATTTCTGGGTTTTTCTGAAGTCCTCTCTGCTTTACCCCAGCCTCACACGAGGCAGTCTCACTCCTCAGCTCTGTTCCAAAGCATTTATCTGACCATCTGTCGTGTGCCAGCCAGTGTGCCGGGCACTGGGGAAACAGTGTAGAGAAATCATAAAAATCATCTCAGCAGAAAAATCATCTTTGTAAAAACCTTTAGCTTTCCCTTCTGTCCAGCTGGATGAACAGCAATAATCTTTCCTTCCAACATAACAGTATTAATTATTCCCCATCAATAATTATTTAATCTCACATGAATAATGAGATTCATTCAAATCCACTCATTTAGCGTCTTTTTAAAAATTGATTGATTTGTATGTAAGCTCAGAGCGATGAGTTTTTACGTTCTAGTTTAATATGTACAAACCAGGGTGAGTGCATTATGGAGGATCTATACAAAACAGAGTTTGGTAATCACTGAAGTGGGCATCAGCCATTTTATTTGCCATGGAGTTGCTTGTCTGCATTTGGGAGACATTATGCAGTTTCTGTCATTCTCATTATTGTGGTTACTCTGGTTCCTTTTCATTTTTAGATCAGAACGTTTTGCTGCATTCATATCTTTAATATTTCTAGGAGTTCATGGAAGGTAAAAAAACAGATGCCCCACACTGCACTAGCAAAGTGGGGTTACAAAGCCCTTTCTCTCTTTACTTAAAAAGACATATTTTTTAGGCTCCTGTGTCTGAGATCTTGTAAACTGCTGTCCAGTTTGAGCTCTTGGTCAGCTTCCTGTGAACAAGTAAATGTCTTGATAGCGTCTGTGTTTCCTGTGAACTTTTTTGTTCTGAGGTTCAAAGTATTCTTCTTAGTTTAATGTATTATTGAAAATGTAAGGACTTCATTGCATCCTCAGGAAGTATACACATTTCCATTGACTGCCTGTGAGTACAGAGCCATATCCTGAGACAGATGTTCTTGATGTTTTTTGTGTTTCTTCAGGGCATAAAAATAAGATAACAAAAGAGCCATCTTGATAAATATTCTTTGGCCAGAGATTATTTTGCTATAATGTTAGAAAAACTTCTACAATGATACCTAACAATATTGTGTTCCAGTTATTGGCCCTTCACGTTTATCCATATATTTTTCCTCTTTGTTGCAGTTGGCATAGTCCAGTTTTTATAGTCCAAGATTGTATGCCCTGTTTGACTCAGACTTTAGAGATGGGTTATCTAAACCGATATTAACGTGTAGATCTAAGCTAAGATAACTCATCATTTTCATATGGATTTTTTAATCTAGATTTCTTGAAATCTGAAACTATCAGTGGATCTTGTTGACAACTGTGGGATATAAGTTAGGTCTATGATACAATGCTGTCATTTAAATTTCTCTACATAGTGGGATGTCACTTTTCATGGCACATAAATGTTGCCAAAAGAAAGTTGGCTTTAAAGCATATCCTATGCATATAAAATCTAATTTTCTAGTTCATTTAACTTTTGAATATTCCCTGAAAGAGAAAAATGGTTCCATTTGTATGGAATTTCACATACTTAAAGGAAATTAAAATCCTATAGAAGAAATAATGGCAAAACTACAAGTATTTTTAGAAGAGTTAATAAAAGAAAAGGACTTTGAAGTTTAAGGTAAATGTGCTCCCAACTCTATATTTTTCATGACTTCTCCAAATGTTGTTTTCGGAGAGGCCTATCTTCTTGTTATGTTCTTTTAGCATTCTAGAGGGAATGTGTTTATATTTGTTACACTGTCATACAGGCTATATATAATTAGTGTGAAAATATTTCTATTGCTAATCAGTTTTACTTTATCCAAAATTAAATTCTAGCCGATCGCAATGACTGTTCTAAAAGTAGTTTGGAATGTCAAGGGATGAAGTTCATACAGAAAAAAGAAGATAATTTATTACATTACTACATTGGCCACTGACCTCCCATTTTTCCTTTCTTTTGTACGTTTCATTTCACGTGCAGTCATTTTTCAACTAGCTTCCTTATACATTTCTCGAATAATAACAGGAAACAACTATACCTTTGTTTTCTGCAGTTCTTTATCCTTACCCTGATTCCTCAGAATGCTGAAAAGCTAAAAATAAATCCTCTTTTGAGATATGGTTGATATTTAATTTCAACCTGAAATTTTATCTCTTTTTTTACAAATTCGTTTATCCAAAATAAAAAATCCTGAGCTTCTAGTTGAGAGACAGTGGAGATTTAAATGGACACCGAAGCATTCTTCTAGAATGTTTTTATTACCGAACATCATAATTTAGATTCACACTGCTGAGAAACACCATATTCCGTTGTTTGTGCAGGGCTGTGGGTTATTGTACTGCTCACAGAAAAACCAGCTGGGGAGCTTAGGGACTTTTTCATATTCAGCGCATTTGTATTTCTGCTATCAGAGATTCTGATTTTCCTTTGAATGTTTGTCAGATAAGATACAGTTGTATTAAGCCTCTGGTTTGCTATGTGTTTTTACAGTAATTGATTTGCATGCACCTCTCTTCAATTAACTTATTTTCAGGATTTTATAAAATGCCTGACTTGTTTTAGAACAGAGTTTATATGACAGCCAAATATTTAAAATTTTTGTATAAGCATCAAGTCTGTGTCTTAATAAGAATAATTCACCATGTCTGATAGACCAAATTAAATTGGAAGGTGGGAAGGAGAAGGGAAACAAGGCAACCAGTTGAGAAATGAAGTACCCAGGGATTCAGATAAGGAAAGGAAGAGAAAGCTTAGTGTAAGGAAAACCTGTCTGAGATCAGTATCTGTGTCTTTCACACATGTAGGTTGCTAGTTCAGTCTCTTTTAATTTCACATTAAGCACATTATCTTTGAAGAATGATAGTCCGTGTCTAATAATGTGAAAGCAAAAGAAAATGTCATAGTGCCCAGGAAGTGGTTGCTGCTTTTAATTGGTATTTGTCATTTTAAAATGCTTTGTTAGGAGAGATAAGATGATGAAGGCTGTTGACAATTTTTGCTGGCCGTCACGCCTTTTGTTGGGTTGGGCGGTGTGCCATCACCATTCAACAAACATTTATTTATTGTGGTTTCTTAAAACTGAAGGGCTATTGTTTTTAAAAGAGTACATTTAATATTTCAGATAAGGAAGAAAAATTATATCTTTGTGAAATTTTGGCTAAGAAATTGATTTGAAACCTCTGTATAAAATCCTAGTTTCTATTTTTGAATTGCTTTGCCTTTTATACCATATTTGAAGCCTCACAGTTTCTTTTGGTTTGTGTTTGTTGTTTTTGTTTTTAGCAGACGGCCCATATCTTCAAATATTAGAGCAACCTAAACAGGTAAGAAGATTAAAGGGGTGGTACTTTTTCTTTAAAAGATAGAATCCTGTGTCTCATATGGAGATCTCAAGCACTGAATAATAGTAAACAAATTTTATGAAGGAAGTAGCTTATCTGAAGGATCAACTGCCTATCAGATTATGTAACAACTTCATGGTTCGCTTTTCAGTTCTCGTCATCATTCTCCAAACTGTCCTAAGCATTATTACGTAGTTCTGCAAAACTCCATTTAATTGGCTTAGTGCCTGTGGCTCAAGCGGCTAAGGCACCAGCCACCTACACCTGAGCGGGAGGGTTCGAATCCAGCCTGGGCCCACCAAACAACAATGATGGCTGCAACCAAAAAATAGCCGGGCGTTGTGGCAGGTGCCTGTAGTCCCAGGGACTTGGGAGGCTGAGGCAGGAGAATTGCTTAATCCCAGGAGTCGGAGCTGTGAGCTATGATGCCACAGCACTCTACCGAGGGTAACAGCTTGAGGCTCTATTTCAAAAAAAAAAAAAAAAAGCCTCCCATTTAATGATAGATCCTCTGCTGTCTCTTAGCTTACCAGCCATTCCCAGGACGGGCACAGGGTATTTCTACTCATTCTCACCTGTAAGGAAATACATATATGTGTGTTTCACAGACACTGAATTACATCCGTCAAGCACGTCCATGCAGGTGTAGTCCTTCTTGGCCTCCCCCTTCCCTTAATAGCACCAGACTTTCCTGGTCTGTCTTTGGAACATGTAACCTAAGCTACTAAAAGTACCAGTGGGAGGTCAAGTGTTAGAATGGACTATTGAGTTTTGTTCCCTCTGCTATCAGCTTTAAGACACTCAGTCTCTTTGGAATCAGGAGAGGAGCATTTTATCTTATCAAGCTCTTCCTCTCACCACTATATTTGATGGAGGATTGAAGTGAAAAGGCCTCCTCTCCGTGTCCCAACTCTGTGAATGAATTTTTGTTGGAAATTGAATAGGACCAGGGCTCTGGAAGAGTACCTTTAGTATCTGCCTATAGGAGATTTGGGAACAGCATTGTTCCTCACAGAGTAAGGACAGTTGGTAAATGTTGAAATGGGTGTGCTTATCACATTTGTGTGATAACCTGCCCTCTTGCAGTTATGTTACCCGATACCTGTCCTAAGTGTTCTTTTCATTAGCTCAGAGAGGGTAACACTTTTGCCTCGCATAACATTTGGCAAATGATAACTAGATAAAGAGCTTAAATAAAGCATCCGCTGCCTTGTGGCTTCCAGAATATACAATATAAGATTCAGTCAGCATTTTAAGGATATAAGTACCTTAATAATAACCAAACAAACCACCCTCATATGGTCAAAATTAGGTGAGAGTTTTTGTATAGGGACAGGGATGCCACATGAGACTTTGGGGCTTTGTTCTAGTGCTTGTGGGACATCCGGGCCCCACAGGCTACCAGTAAAACTTTGCTTTACCTCCATGTCTAACTCTGTAGCACTGATATCTCACAAGAGGTCACCAAGTCTTTCAAAGACCCTCTTGGCGGAATGTTATCCTTTGAAATTTTGGACAGTGATCTGGCATCCTGGAAGATGTCCCATCTTAGGAGATCTGTGTAATTGATGAAACTGAGAACCCAACCAAAATTTATTTGTCTACATACTGTATATTTTTTAAATATCCATTTTCATAAGCATACCCCTATATTAAGAATTTTAAAATGTAGTTTCTTAACAGTCATAAGGAAAAAATTGACAGTTGTGATGTCCATGAAGAGTTAATGTAGTTCCAGAATTCAGAATTTAATTCATTACCTGTGGGTGCTTATGAGGTTGGAGATCTCCGCTTACAAATTCATCCTAGAAAAAGTGCTGCATACCTCACTATGGTCCCCTTCAAGGTCCTCCCCTCGGGAAGCTGTACACTGATGCCAGAGCCTAGTCCACCCTTCAAAGCAAATTTGGAACTCTTTTTCTGGATGGCCATAAGAACTATTGTCTTATGAGGTCTGACAATTTAATTCACAAACTCATCCTAGAAAAAGTGCTACATACTGAATATCACTGTCGTTACCACATGGCCAAGCAGAGTACTTCCAAGGTGACGGTAGTGGTGATGTTCAGCAATGAGGTATGTGGCACTTCTTCTAGAATAAGTGTCTGACCTTCTATATGAGTTAAACAATGCATTTGTTTACCTACCTAATGTTATTTTGACGTCTGAATTCAGTGAAAGTAAGAAGGTTGTATTAAGTCAGACTTTCTGATTGGTTGGAGGTAGCCTTGGCTTTGAGGTTGATGACTCATTTTAAGCAACTGGAGTTACTGAGATGAATGGCTGTGGATTGGCAAACCTTTAATCTTAGAAATTTAGAATCAGAAATGAGTCCAGACAATGCTGAAGATATCTTATCTTCCTGAAAAAAACTTTGACATTTTCATTTCCAGGTTAAAAAATGTCTTTGTATAAAATTTTAGATACTCTTCTGCAGCCCTGAATAATACCTATCAAGTATTTTACAAACTATAAGAAAGCCATTAACACATGCCATTTACTTAATAATCCATGTGACATCACTCCTAATAAGATATAAAAATATATATGTATATATTTTCCTGTTGTCCCAAAGGAATTTTGTGATTAAAGGTAATGAATTGCTTTAATTTTTTTAAGATAGAAAAACAGTTCTTTTCTTTAGGACCTCTTTGCCACAGATTTTTCCCCACTCTGACACAGATGAGTCATAGCATGGACTACTAATTTTCAAACTAGCTAGTTCTGTTGCGTATCATTCAGTGTTAATTATCTAATACTGTGTTGAAAACTAAAGTTGTGTTTCAATTGATTGGCAGTCAAGTAAATTTCTATATGTTTAGTTAATTCTGCAAGCTAACTGTTGCACATGGGTTGCTTTTTTCATGCTTTTCGAAATTTCATTTAGTTATTTAAAATAAGCCAATAGGTGTTGCTTACAGAAAGTGTGCAGCTGAATTTGTAACTAACTTTTTAATTTGAATGTTGTGAGAAGTAAAACATGAGAATTGGCTCCTAAAACCTCACCTCAGAAGGCTTCCCTGGTATTTAAATTTGGAATCTTCTAAGGAACCATATTCTAGTTATTTTAGATCTCACTTTGATGAGTTGATTACACACTGAAGATACCTGTGTGCCTTGAGGAACATTCCCAAATTCCCTGGGGAATTTGCTTCAGGCCATAGTCATCTGGTGATACTCATTTAAAGAGTGATCTTTGGAAATCAAGAACTCCTCAGAGAATGTAGGGACAATTCTAGAGGTTCCCAAAGGATTAAATGAGTTCAAGGTATCTGGACCACTCAGACTGCAAGGCCTTACGCGGAGTAATGGAGTGCAATACAGTCTAAGGGGGCAAAAAATTTACCTTGGTCCTTGAACTCAAAGCTGTGAAAACCTCCATGTTGCCAAGGTTCTAAAATTTTATAAGTAAGGTAGAGAGCCCCCACCAGCAGTTAGTGGGTGTGGGGAACTCCAGATAGCCTAATGATCTAGTCCTGTTTATATGAAGTCAGCCCCAGCCACAATAAAAATAAAAATGAAAGGTGAGGCTTTTCCTTAAAGCATATTAACATATTATTCTTTTCACCAAAGAGTCAATTTGAAGAAAGAAAACCATCAGCTTACAAACAGTTATAAACCACTAAAACTACCACAAATTGATTGACAGCATTATAAAGTCAAATCTTTCAGGAAATTCAGTGAAACTCCCTTAATACAATGGTGAGGTCCATTTGCATAATTATCCTTGTTTTATTTTGTATATACATATATGCATAATTACAATTAAGCTAGCTTTATGAATCATAAAATGTTAGACCTGGAATAAACCTTAGAGATGATCTGGTATAATCTTCTTATTGATACAGACGAAAAAAACATGGTGTTTACCAGCTCTTAGTGGTTTATATAGTAAAGGCTTCCAGCTAACTCTTCATTGATTAAGTCTGTAAAATTCCTGTGTTAGATCACAGTTAAGGGAACCATTTGATTTTGGATTCATTCAGCTCAGTTATTGTTAGGCTTGAGATGGATCATATCAATAATGACAAAGTCAAAAAGCTTATCGTCTGAACTGTTGAGAGAAGCTCACCAGAGGCACAGGCTCCCCAGAGCATAGGTTGCATTCCACAACATCGATTTGGTATATCTACAAAAACACTGCTGTAGTTTCTCCTGAATCAACTGTAATCAGAGCTGATAAAGGAGTTCCTTTAAGTAAGAGTCAAAGAAGCATAACTTTTAGTAATATGGCAAAGTTCAGAGCTTGGCAGCCAGCAGCTGGAGACGGGGAAGCTCTGGTTCCAACAAGCCACAGCATGCTGACTCAGAAAGTTTACACTCTTCAGCAGTTTACCTTGCACATACGCACAGCGTGAGAGGTCCTGCAGCTCAGGTATCAGGAGTTTCAGCCACATCTCTGTGGATGAACATGAATTAATAACATTTTCATGAAAAGCTTATGGGAGAAGTAATTTCTCATTCACAGAGTCCTCTTTCATAGTTTCTCTCATTGGTACACATAAGATTTTAAAACCTGTATGTAACTTTGCCAGGATAATTTCTAATAAGTATGCCTCAAACTTACTGGCTTAATGTTCACCTTTGCAGAGAGGATTTCGTTTCCGTTACGTATGTGAAGGCCCATCCCATGGTGGACTACCTGGTGCATCTAGTGAAAAGAACAAGAAGTCCTACCCTCAAGTCAAAGTAAGTTCCTGGTACCCTTCTTCATGCATTCTGGAAATTTTGATTTCCTAGGATTTCCAAGGAATTCCTTTAAATAAATACAATTTGCTTTGGGTTGAAGTGTTCACATGATTACTACTTTTAGCGATAGAAGGGATAGATATTAAAACTTTACTAACAAACAGATAACTGAGTGAGTGGATTATGTAGTACATTAAATATTTAAGATCGTGAATTGAGCTCCAGTTCTATTAATAGCAGTGTGGTTGTGAGCAGGTTTATCAACACTTCTAAACCTTCGTATCCTGATGTTTAAAATGTATGAAATGCAGAATTATTAATAGCATATACTTTGTAAGGCCTTTTAGAGATTAAGTGAGAAAATGTATGTAAGTGCTCCAAAGAGAACCTGGAAGCATCTCACGGCCTCCACCTGAGCAGGCGAACAGCCACATGCGGGTGTCTCTTGGAGCCAGATGGTGTTGGTATGCTTGATGGCACCTTTTACCTACCATTTTAGGAGGTTTTTGTTTGTTTGTTGATTTTATTGAGAAGATCATTCTCTAAATTAATTTGAGCTTTTTATTTTCATAACATTGTACCATGTTTCATAGGCTGATACAGTTTTGCAGATAAGTCAGTCAACAATTGTAGGTTAGTCATTTATAAAAGTTTTTATTTGCTCAGTCACTCAAAGCTGGGATAAAACAATCCCCACTCTCTACTGTGTGTGCCCCTGAGGATATAACATACCTTTGGCCTCAGTCTTTTTTGTTGGTTTGTTTCTGTGAGTAGATGAAGGTTGATAGAACAGGCCTTCAGGAAAACTGTGATGTGAGGAATTTGTCTTTGGTTTTGCCAGCATTGAATTTTGTTTCTTCTCTTTCCTCATGTCTCAGTTGTAGGCCAGGCCTTTCTAATTTCCTATCCTTATTCCAAAACAAAAGACAAAATACTGTAATGTCTTCCTTTACTTTGCAAACAAAACTCACCCGTATTATGTAGTATGGATCTTATTGGTCAGATTTGTGTTTTAAGTCTCTTAGCTCTAACTGTGGAATGACAGCTGTTTTTCTGATTAAAGGTAACTAGGCAGGTAAATAGAATGACTTTAGTCCATAGAAGCAGAGCTCAGTCTTACTGGCATCAGGTCCTTTAGAACCTGGGTGAGGAATGAGGAGCAGCAGTAAATAAGCTAATTAGCATCTATAAACACCAAATAATGTTTGCCAAGTGCTTTCTGCATGTTAGCTCTCTTAATCCCCATTAACAACTTCAGAAGGTAAAAAGAGTAATGCCTGTGAGGAAACTGAGGCTCAGAGAGTGAGAAATTAACTGGCCTTTCCCACAAGACCAGACTAGACTTCATCCAACAGCAAACTGTTGTTCATTAGAGCTCTCAGGTAGAATGTGTGTACTTGGGTGGGGAGGGAGATAAGGGGACAGGACACTGGAAGACAATGGTGAAATAAGGCACCAAGAACAGTAACTCTGGAGAACAAGGGGGAGAGAGAAAGGCACAGGAAGAGGCAGCAGGTCCTCGGGGAGTGGCCATTCGGGGCCAGCACTTGTCTGTTAACACATGTGTCTGCCTGTCATATGTGCAGATATGTGTTTCTGTGCGTGTATATCTGTGAGGAGGCTGAAAAGACAGATACGTGTTATCGTCATTGACACTGATTATACCAACAGAAGAATTAATTTTAAATGAAAAACTGGAAAGTGTTTTATGGACAAAAATATATAAAGTATGGTAATTTTCATGAACCATTTACTTCTCTCGCTCTAGTATTTTGAGGCTAAGTAACGATTTTCGATACTAACCAATACAAGGCATGAACTTTGTTGTAAATCTCTTAGCTAATGCAAAACTTTACATGTTCATTCAGGTCCGGTCCTCATGCTCCTCCTCATGTAGAGGTTCCACTGACATAAAAACATAGTGCTGCCTCATGGTCACTAAATAATTTAGAAATGGAACAAATTAGTGGACGTTAGATGTTCTCGTGGGATGACAGCTTCCGTATCAATGAGTTAAACAGGAATTATAGCTACGTAAACAATAATAAAGCAAGTTAAAATATAAGTGTGGGTGATTGGGGAGTATTGGTCATTATTAAACTTCATCTGCAACCACATTATTTCACCCAATCACTTTTATATTCACTAATTCAGTAGATATTTTGAAAGCATTAAATAAATCTAATCAAGCTGTAAGAAAAGGAGGATCCTGGAGTTTAGAGAGTCTGTCACAAGCTCTCATTGTTCCCTGAGCCTGTTACTAACCATTGAGAGTTTGAATGGCTCTGCTGTTCCTAACAGTTAAAGGAAGTACTTTTATTTATTCTAGAAACTCTTAATCAGAAGGATGGAGAAGAGGGAAAGAGAGAGAAAGAAAGAGACAACAGCAGGTGTTTTTTCTTCAGAGCTCTCCTCTCACTGTCCCCCCCCCCCATAGTCTTTTTCCATAAAGGAGATCTGAGGGTGACTTTTAAGTTTGTAAAGGAATTTTAAACCCCTTTTCCCTGTACTATTTGGATAGAGGACAGGATTGCTCTTGGTGAATCTCTTTTCTCAGAAGACTTGACAGTGGTCCGTGTCATCTAAAGGATGTAAACAGTAAGATGACTACATCTAAAGTGTTTCACACTTGGCACTATTGACATTTTGAGCCAGAAAACTCTTTGTTTTGAGATGCTTTCCAGTGCATTTACAGAACATTTAACACCACCCCTGGTCTCTATTCATTAGGTTCCCAGCAATGGTAACAGCCAAAAATGTGTCCAGGCATTGCCAGGTGAACCCCGGGGGAGCAGAATCCCCCCTGTGTGAGAACTCATACAGAATTGCCTAAGTATGTTATTTTTACAAGAAAGTGCTCTTCCTGATTATTAGTAGATATTTCTTGTTTTTAAAATGATGATCATGCTGTGTTTATCTCTCTTACAATCTCTGAATTGCTGTACCTGGATACTGAATATAAAGACAAAAAAAGAGAAAATATACCTTAGACATTCTATATTCTATGATAACTGCATGCCTAAAAATTAAAGTAGAATTTCTGTCGACTGTCTGCTATAACTGCAGAAGAGAAAGTGAAAGTGGAGGCAGGGCTTCCGTGCATAGTATGTGAACAGTGGTAGCATTTATGGAATGATGCTTTCAGGCTGGCAGAGGTATCCTGGGAAGTGCCCTGCACTCAGCCCAGAATCCATTCCAGCAGGAACTGCAGGGGGCAGGCATCTACATTTACTGGAAAGAAATGGCACTGCTGAACCTTCCGTTGGCCACGTGTTTATGAAGTGCATATGGTCAGGCTTAAGAGTAAAATGTTACAGACTCCTCCTTTTCCTCTCCTACAGCCCTTTCCCCTCCTATCTGCTTCCCTGTCTCCTTGTTATGCCTTTGTCAGAGCCCCACCACCCTGCCATCCTCAAGAGGCACCCTGAAAGGCTGGTGTGCACTCACTGTGCACTCAGTCATATGGAGACAGAGCACAGGGCCAGGTGCCAGCCTGAAAGCTCAGGGCTGGCTGTGGTTTGGTGGCTGCAGACAAAAATCTATACTTTATAAAAATGTAAACTTATAACCTGCTTGTGTTACTCTCTTATTGACTGAATGTGATGCCTCAAGTTAAATCATTTTAAAACCAACTCTAGGGGTCCACTCAAATCCTGTGTTTTCTACTGGAATTACGTTCCATTCATGACAACCTGTGTTCAGACAGGTGTGGGCGAGGCTTACACACCCCTCACCACGCTGTTACCTGCAGGATTTGGGCCCCTGAACCATTGGTGTTCTGCATGTTTCTTTCATATAGCTGAGAACCAAGAATTCCAGTTAGCTTTCTAAGATTTCACTGTGCAAATCTTCATATCCTTTTTTAATTAAGTTATAAAATAGTTCAAGCATATAGGAAGTTTAAACATTGATATAACAGGTACCGTGTACCACAATGTAAATTTAATAGATCTTAAAATTTTGCTATGTTTGC